AGTCAATGCATATGGATACAAACAGTACATCGATGTATAATGAATTTCATGAGATACCTGTTTGGTTCTCTTGGAAAAACTCTGTTTCCTGCTGCAGGACAGCCCGAAACACCTCTCCCTGCAAGTGGCTATGTGCACGGCCCATGGTGCCATTGTAGATCCCATCACCCATGAACTCCAGCACTGCACTAGAGATGGAGACAAGGGGGTCATTATGTGTTCGGGGGACAGAGAGAAGGTCCCAGGCATCCCCAAGGAAGTGCACAGGGTCCCCACTTCTTGGCCTTCCATCCTCAGCCCACAGACCTGGCTACAGTGAGAACGGACATGAGAGTTACATTTCGAGTGAAGGCAGAGGCTGCCTTGTCTTGTAGAATCCAGTCGGTGAGGCGGCCAGTGAAGAAGGGAATGGCCATCTCCCCTGGGGAGGGATAGAAGAGATGGGTCAGACACAAATATCAAGTCTAGCAGGGCGGTTCCAACCCCACTGCTCCCAGACCACCCCTCTCCTTCATGCTTGGCCATTACCAGGGAGGGCATCAGCAGAAAGCGGACACAAGGGACACAACCTTGCACCTTAGCAGGCCATCCTGGAACTCACAACCCTGAGGCCCCACCAGATCTTTAGGGATTTAATTAGGGAGGCTGGAGATCATAGGATGTGCTATGAGGCCAAAGAAAGAACTGGGTGGCCAATGAAGCAACGCCTGGCAGCACCGAGTCCAGGACTCCTGCCGCCCACCAAGTCCAGGTCTCATCCTCTACCCTGGAAAGGTCTGCTCAAGACCCGAGCTGGGTGGCCTTCCCTTGACCCACACCTTCCAGAACCCACACTAACCTATCTCCCTGACCATTACTCTTGATTCCTACCCAGTCCCTTGTGTCCCTCCTGCTCCCCCTGCATTCCCCTTACCGGCACAGGAAAGGACCAGCAGGCCCAGAACGAGCGGCAGGCGCCGTATGTCCGAGCCCAGGCAGCCTAGAAGCCGGCGCACCGCGTCTGCAGATTTCCCTTGACCTCCGCGTACCCAAAGGCTCCCGAGCTTGCGCCATAGAGCAGCTGCGGGCAGCACTGCAGCGTAGCTGAGGGCGAAGGCGTCGAGGCGACATCCCCAGTGCAGCAGCCTGGTGCTGTGAGAGTCCCTGGGGACTCCCCAGGAGCCCAGCTCTCGGAATAAGGCAAGTACCGGCAGCGCCAGGCCCAGCGCCGCCGCCAGGGACTCCGAAGCAGCCAGCCAGCCCAGGACCCCTGCGCTTCCGCTCTTGNCAATGTAATGTCATCTGATATTCATATCAAGAGCCCTATAAACAAGGCTATACTACTCATATTATTTTAAATGAGGAAACAGTCTCAGAGAAGGTACGTTACTAGCCCATGGGTGCTGAGCTAGTAAATAAATGGCAGTATGAAGCCAGAACCTTCTGATTCCTGGCCCAACTCTCGGTTACATCACAGATGCCCCTCATCCTTGGCTTCTGCTATCCCCATGGCCCTCACTAGTACATCCACATATTTCTGAGCATGAAGGAGGCCAGGGTGTGGGGATTTATGGCTCCCTGAGTGCTCCAGGAGAGGCAAGGGAAGGCCCTAGGACTGGAAGACATGGCATCTCACTAAAAAGCAGGTTTGGTGGATTTGGGGTACCATAGTAAAAGGAAGCATCAAGCGTGCCCAGAAAGGGGGAGGCAGGTAGGTACACCAAGTAGGCTTATCGAGCCTCAGTTTGCTAGCTGAGAACACCAGACCAACCACTGCCCAGTGGAGGAGTGTGGAGCAGGGTCGGGGAAGGAAATGGAGTCAAGGTGTATTGGGACAAGGGAAAAGGCATTCATCTCCGAGTGCTCACAGTAGTGGTCCACAGGCCGACAGCAAAGGCCAGGGCCTCCTTCTGGCTAAGTGTCTTCATTTCCTGCAGCTTTTGCCTAATCTTCTGGGCCTCACCCTCCTCATTGGCAAAGCTCTGGACTGTAGGCATCACTGACAGAACCTCAATGGCCACCCGGCTGGACTCTGCCAGAGATTCCTGCACCTGTGCTGCCAGCACCTGAGGAGACACAGACAAGAGACATCACACAGGGCTGGCAAATCGTAAAGGGCACTGGTACCTGAGTTATGTGGTTGGAGATTAAAGGTAAAAAGATGCAGATGAAAGAGAAAAGAGAAAGGGGCGTGGTTATACTCCCTGGCTACTAAAGAGATACAGAGGGAAGGCAATGACTCAGAAGGGGAACAGGGGATCATATTCTTGAGAATGGTGATCATATTCTTAAAGACAGATTATGGGCAGAAGTTAGAAGAGAAGACACAGAGAATATGAAGCTCAGCACTGAACAATCTGGGGATACAGGTGACAGGGATAGGGAGCCCCATGAAGACAGGGAATCGGTGAGGAACAAGTCCATCATGTCTGTGTAAGTTGAGGGTTTGTGTAAGTTGAGGCAACTCCCTGGACGTACCTGGTGCCATTTTCCAAGCTTCTTGGGCAGAAGGAAAAGCAGAGGCAGGATGACCATGGTGAGGGAGAGCAACCCCCAGAGCATGAGGCCCAGCAGACACAGCCCACGCACCAGGTACCACACAGCAACATGCTCAGCTTCTCACTCAGAGACTCACTCAGGGAGGACGTGTCCGCTGTAACCCGAGATGTGATGGCGCCTGCCAGGCGTTGGGGAGAAGAGAGTGGAGTGAATGAGAGGCTCAGAGTGACGGGAGGGACAAGCAATGAGCTGAGCTGTGCTGGCAAGGGGTGTCCCCATGCTCTGAGGACTCTGCGGAAAACAAGGTCAGGGGATGGGACGATGGGGATCTCAGTGCAGGGAGAATAACATTAGAGAGGAAGAGCCAGGCCAAAGGCCTTCATTTTAACAATAAGGAAACTGACGCCCATGTGAATTAACACTCTGGCAGATTTTTGTTCCTTTCAGAGCCTGTATACCCCATGCCACACTCATAAGCAGGAAGAGCTCACGCTCACTTAACAGAGCCAGGGAAAAACAGAGAGTGCTGCTAGAAGGCTGTCCAGGAAACTGTGCCAAGCACTGGATTGGGAATCAAGAGACAGATTCACTCTCCCCAAATTCACCTCTACCTAAGCGTGACTATACAGGCTTCAGCATTTAGGGTCTAGGCCTATTTCCTTTTTTGCAAAATGAGGAGGCAGTTGGACTCTGTGATCTCAAAATTTCCAGGTTTGAAATTCTGTAGTTTCTGTCTAAATACACATACAGAGATAAGTTTACGGAAAAATCTTGGATAGAAAAGTTAAGTTTTTCTGAAGATAAAATACAATATTTTGCTCTTGAGGTATAAGAAATGAGAATTTGTGTGTGTGTATGTGTGTGTGTGTGTGTGTGTGTGAGAGAGAGAGAGAGAGAGAGAGAGAGGAAGGTTATAAGTAAAAGCAGATGCATATGGATACAAACAGTACATGGATGTATAATGAATTTCATGAGATACCTGTTTGGGTCTCTTGGAAAAACTGTTTCCTGCTGCAGGACAGCCCGAAACACCTCTCCCTTCAAGTGGCTATGCGCGCGGCCCATGGTGCCATTGTAGATCCCATCACCCATGAACTCCAGCACTGCATTAGAGATGGAGACAAGGGGGTCAGCATGTGTTCAGGGGACAGAGAGAAGGTCCTAGGCATCCCCAAGGAAGTGCACAGGGTCCCCACTTCTCAGCCTTCCATCCTCAGCCCACAGACCTGACTACAGTGAGAAAGGACATGAGAGTTACATTTCGAAACAGTGAGAAAGGACATGAGAGTTACATTTCGAGTGAAGGCAGAGGCTGCCTTATCTTGTAAAATCCAGTCGGTGAAGTGGCCAGTGAAGAACGGAATGGCCATCTCCCCTGGGAAGGGATAGAAGAGATGGGTCAGGCACAAATATCAAGTCTAAGCAGGGCGGTTCCAACCCTACTGCTCCTGGGCCACCCCTCTTTCACACTTGGCCATTATCAGGGAGGGCATCAGCAGAAAGCGGACACAAGGGACACAACCTTGCACCTTAGCAGGCCATCCTGGAACTCACAACCCTGAGGCCCCACCAGACCTTTAGGGGTTTAATTAGGGAGGCTGGAGATCATAGGATGTGTTATGAGTCCAAAGAAAGAACTGGGTGGCCAATGAAGCAATGCCTGGCAGCACTGAGTCCAGTGGAAAGGTCTACCCTGGAAAGGTCTGCTCAAGACCCGAGCTGGGTGGCCTTCTCTTGACTCACATCTTCCAGAACCCACACTAACCTATCTCACTGACCATTACTCTTAATTCCTACCCAGTCCCCTAGTGTCCCTCCTGCTCCTCCTGCATTCCCCTTACCGACACAGGAAAGGACCAACAGGCCCAGAACGAGCGGCAGGCGCCGTATGTTCGAGCCCAGGCAGCCAAGAAACCGGCGCACCGCGTCTGCAGATTCCCCTTGACCTTCGCGTACCCAAAGGCTCCCGAGCCTGCGCCATAGAGCAGCTGCGGGCAGCACTGCAGAGTAGCTGAGGGCGAAGGCGTCGAGGCGACATCCCCAGTGCAGCAGCCTGGTGCTGTGAGAGTCCCTGGGGACTCCCCAGGGGCCCAGCTCTCGGAGCACGGCAAGTACCGGCAGCTCCGCCGCCAGGGACTCCGAAGCAGCCAGCCAGCCTAGAACTCCTGCGCTTCCGCTCTTGGAGCCATTCATCGCCCTAAGGTCCCCGCGGGCCCCCAGTCCCAGCACAGCCCAGCGGCTCAGGCCCACCTCCCCAGACCCGAAGCAGCGGCAGCGTGGAGGGCACCAAGGAGAATATTCTGGGCAGCTCCGGCCGGAGCCGCACCCAGTCGCCTAGAAGCAGCAGCGTGGTCTCCAGCCACGGCAGGGAAGCTCGGGAGAGGTAGAGGCACCCGCTGGGCGCGGGGAACCCTGAGCCGGCCACTGGCGCGCGCGCACTCATCCCGGAATCGCGCCCAGGCCTGGGGCTCCCTGGCGTCCCCGCCAAGCTGGAAGCCCTCGTAAGCTGGAGAGGGCGCGGAATGGGCGGCAGGGGAAGGAAATGGGCGGGCCAAGGCGGGACGCTCGGGAAGTCCCGGGAACCGGTCGATTCTGGTCGCGCTACTTGGAAGGGAGCCGCGTAAGGGAAAAGAAAACGAAAGCAGCCGCAGGCTGGCTAGATCCGCCCACGTCGGAAAGTGGCCAACCCAGACTATTTTGGGCGACGGCACTTAATTCAGATATGAGGCTCTGGGAAGCAGCTTCGTCCATCTTACGCATCAGTCCCTCCTTTCCTTGCTGCCTCCTGCAAAGATTCACTTGTCGGAACCCGCTCACCCCAGCCTGGGCGGGTTCTTTCGTCACCCGTCTTTGGGCAGACCTGCCAGACTCGGTTTAGCGGCCGGGGTCAGGCCTGGCGGAGAGAACCCAGGCGCCCCCTGGCGGGCGTGGAGAAGGGGCGGAGCTGCAGGCCGCGCGCAGCGCGCTGTCCCAGGTCGGAAACCAGCGCCCCAAAGGAGGAGCGCGGCGCAGAGATGCTGCCGACCGGAGCACCAACCGGGGATTTACCCCGGGCTGGAGAAGTCTACACTGGGGTAATGAGTCTGGGCTTGAGCGTTAGCAGAAGGCTGGAGGAGGTGGAGCGACGGGGTACCCTAGAAGCGCCTGGAAGTAAATGCGGAGACTAACAAGAGTGAGGAGGTAGTTTGTAGTAGCCGGAGCTTGCAATGGGTACAGGGCGTCTGTACTCTGCAGGGGATCACCTAGGGGTCCGAGAAGGGCCTGGACAAGTGAGGCTGGTGGAGAAGGGGTGCTTTGGCTTTTAGCTGGAAGCGTCAAGGGGAAGCTGTTCTAAAGCGCTTTCGCCTTCTCTCTGGACTAGAGAGAGGGGCTGGTTAAATCAAGGGAGGGGTGGAGAAGGTGCAGAGATGAGGAAATGGTGCCCTGAGTGAAGTAGGACCGCCCTTGGGAGAGGGTAATACTGGCACTGATTGAGACAAGACAGCTCAGCACACAGACCTTTGATAAACTGGCCACTGAGCAATTCACAGCACCCTGATAATGGGGGTTCCATGTGAGCGGGTGGTGCCCTGGCCCAGCTCAGCCCAGGAAGGCCCCTGCCTGGCCAATGTGCTGCCATGCTCCCTTCCCTGAGTCTTCAATACCCACTCCCAGCACATGATGGGGAATTGTGCCCAACCTGGGCACCTGGGGAAGATGGCAGCCCAAGGCTGGCAGCTTCACCTCCCAGACTTACTGCCACCACGCTTGGCCTGGGGGCAGATTTGTTTCTGAGGAATGACCTCTAAGATGGGGTTGTCACTATTCTCTGGCCCTCCATTCATAGTAAGTCTGTACGTCAGAAAGCACACTCAGGGTGATATCCCTGGGGGCCAGCATAACTTATGGGGTGGTGAGAAAGAGCAATAAAACCATTTATAAGTAGAAAAATGCCCCTTACTGCCAGATGAGCCGTGGAAGGTAGGAAGTGGAAGCCAAAACAAGGGAGGGCAGCGAGACCAGGACTTTAGCCCCACGTCTGCTATTAATTCTCTGTGACCTTGGACAAGTCAGTTGCCTTCTCTAAGGCTGTTTCCTCATTTGAACCAAGGAGCTCTATGGCTCTTCCCAACTGAACAGTAGAGTAAGAGACGTTCGCTCTTCCTTAATTATCTTCCTTAATTTATTTTCTTGACCTAGAAAGGTCAGTGTAAACTACCTACTCAGATCCTCTCTTGGTATTGATCTTGTTCCCTGGCTACTGAGATATCTATTTACCTCTTGATGAGAAATCCATAAATGAGACCTTTATTTTAAACCATTTCACATGTTCCATGCTGCTTTCCTCCTTCCTTGACATGTGGCCCTGCTAATCATCGACCCCCTCCATGTTTTCTGTTGTTCAATAAACTGAATTATGTGGCCTGTCCCTGTAGTGCACAGGTGTAAAGGAATAGGGGCTGAGAAGTGGATAAGAGACAGATTTGAGGGGCCTCCTTCCATCTATGTTTAGATAGAGAAAATATAGTTCTGCCAAGCAGATATTCTGGTTTCTCATCCATCACACGTTGAACGAATTTTGTCTTCCTCCCTCTTGGCCAGTTTCCTCGCAAGCAAAATAAGTATATGAGCTTAGATCATAAATATGACTTGCTTTATGTTCCATACAACATGTAACTCCTCCAGATGGTTAATAGCAAAGAAAATTGATAAAAATAACAGAATTCTTAATTTAGTGTTTTCTGTTATTAGAAAGTCTAAGCCTGAAAATAAGTCTAATTTTGATCATTATTTTCAGTGTTTCGCTTATTTGAGATGAATTTTTGCTTCCTGCTTTCACCCAAGCATTAAATGTCTGTGGCTGTCCTCTAGCCAAATAAATTTGAGAAACACTGGATGATGAACCTCAACAATTCTGGCAGCTCTAATGCTGGTGACTGTTGGCTCCTTCCCGACAGAGAGGCTGTGATAAACCGAGTGTCTGACAAGCTGTCCCCCCTACACCAGTGCATCTACTGTGCTCTCTCTGGTTCGGCTGCTGATGCCCAGGCGGTGGCCGACATGGCCACTTACCAGCTGGAGCTCCATGGGTATGAAGCTGTGGGGTCTTCAGTGCACACCTACTAGAGCGCCCCCCAGCCAAGGAGCCCCTGTACAGTGTCCTGTTCCAAGAACCTTGTGGTGCAAAATGAAAAGTTCTCGTTTGGGCTCCTGCTTTCCCTGGCTTTGAACTGGCACTTGAATCTCTCAAAGCTGGTTTCTACGTCTGTAGGTTGGAGATAATGAACAGTACCAACCTCGCCTCCCCCGCCAGATGGTTATTTTGAGAATTAAATGATAACACGTGAAAATGGTTTGAGAACTGTAAATCACTGTCCTCACATAAATAATGAGGCAGATACCACTTCAGCAGTTTATTTAAAATAATAATAATAATAATAATAATAAAGGGAGAAATGTGGGATCCACATATAAATCAAGTATAAAAATCAAACGATTATTCATATTTGACCTGATTGTTTATAGTTCATAATGTGTGATCAAAACTGAAAGTTTCCGTGATGAATGCCCTTGTACTGTTCACCATGTAAGAACTTATTCACTATGTAAGAATTCGTTCACTATGTAAGAACTTGTTCGTTATGCTTCAGAAGATTGGAGACTGAAGAGAACTAAGCTTGAGATGGATTAATGATTGTGCATTGAGCATTGACCCCCCTATACAGAATTTTATTGTTAACAACCATTTGATCAATAAATATGAGAGATGCCCTCTCAAAAAAAATAATAAATATAATTTAAAAAATAAATAAATAATAATAATAAGGCAGAAAATGATCGTGTGGCCCACCATAATACCAGGCAGTTACCAAGGGGGAAACCAAGGTCACTGGGGTAGAAGTGAAGCTTATCTGCTTTTACCCACATGGGCAGGGCCCCTGCAGCATTATGTCACAAGGCCAGGGGGAAAGGGTAGTTGGGACAGAGTAAAGGAGGGGTACAGTTGAAATCTTCTTACCAATCAGTGGCGTGAGACTCTAGTTCCCCTGCACCTGTGGGAGGAGAGCTGGGGTTTGAACTCTTGTCAGTTTCAGGTGTCACCTGGCAGGGATAATGGGAATGGCACAGGAGGGTGGAAGGTCAGGAATTTATGTTGACCTCTGTTACTAACATTTCCTTTAGCTTGAAACTGGAAGAACCTCCTCTTGTTCTGGCTGCTGCAAACGTGCTGAAGAAAATCGTTTATAAATACCGGGAGGACCTATCTGCACATCTTATGGTACCTGGCTGGGACAACATGAAGGGGGCCAGGTGAGTCTCTCCTAATGCACTGCTTCCCTTGGGGTTCCCCACTCCCCTATGGAGGGAGATGGAGGTTACACGTCATTCTAGCAATAAATTCCAAAGACACTGCCTCTAAAAACAAGTATAGTTTCAACTGGTGGGGCCGTGAACTAGGGGGGCTTCACTGCAGAGTGTGCAGACCACCTGCTTGTCTCAATGGCAGGGAGCAGATTGATGCTTCTACAGTCTGACTTGAGGATACCTCCCCCAGGTATATGGCACCCTGGGAGGAATGCTGATCCGACAGCCCTTTGCCATTGGTGGTTTTGGCAGCACCTACATCTACGGTTATGTGGATGCAGCATATAAACCAGGCATGTCCCTGGAGGAGTGCAGGCGCTTCATCACGGAAGGTAACTAGCCAAGTAGAAGAGTGCCTGAGGAGGGTTTTTTTAACATGGGAAGGAAGTAAAGTTAAGAAAAGGAATACATGGGTGACCTTTTAATTTAATGTCCAAACTGGGACACTTTTCAGAGCAAAAGGGGGCAGGAGAAAGGCTAAACTAGATGGGACTTCAGAACAGAAAGCATAAACCAGGGTTGTTCTGAGTACACCGAATTAAGACACATGTTTGGTTACTGTAAGAACCAGTGTTGTGCTGGAACTGGCTCGGGCCAGCTCATGGGGGCCAATTGTTAAATATTCAAGGATTTCTGAGCTGCATTTCAAATCAATCAGGGTGGGAGTATTGAGACCATGGACATCAGGAGATGCCACACATGAACCTACATATGAGTGAACACCACTAAATATTCATCTCGAGGAGATGGGTTTAGAGGTCTGAAAGTGGAAATAGGTGCGTGGACAAGATGAAAATGAAAAGATCTTTGAAGATAAGCCATTGTCTCTCCCTCTCTCCAACTTGAAACCCTCTGCAGCTATTGCTCTGGCCATGAGCAGGGATGGCTCTAGTGGGGGTGTCATCTACCTGGTCACTATTACAGCTGCTGGTGTGGACCATCGAGTAATCCTGGGCAATGAGCTGCTGAAATTCCATGATGAGTAACACTTCTCACACTTCGTTTCTTTACTTTGTAATAAACTTTCTTGGACTAGAACCCTGGTATCGTCAATGGGAAATGGGTGCCCAAGGAGACAAACCTTAGGGGAGGGGGTTCTTCCCTCCCAGAGGTGACTAAAAGATCTTTCCCAGAGGAAGGAATGGGGGAATGTACTAGAATTAGAAAAAGCCCTGTACACAACAGCATACACTGAGTGATGCTGAAATATCAGAAACAATAAAACTTCTCGTTCTGACACCCAAGGGAAGAGAGTACAAGTGAGGAGTTGGGAATCATTCCTTGAAGGCTAACGGGTGGGTGGATAGGACAGCTACACACGTGAGAGTTAGCTAGGAGCACTAGCAAACTCACATGTAAAGGAATTCCTATCGTAATGTACATAATGCACATGAAAGGTCAATGTAAGACAAAGGTTAACTATCTGAGAAGCACTTGTGAATCTCAATAGCAACAATAACTAAAAAAAAAAACCACTACATTTATGGAACCAAGCATTGTGCTAAATGCTTATAAACTTTAGAACCCAAGAACCTTTACATAGGTACTACTATTTAAGGACAGGTGGAGGCTTAGAAAGATTAAGTCCCTTGATCAAAGTCACAGCAAGTTCAAAAGCTGAGATCTGGAGTTTAGTTTTACCATATGCCCATCTTCAACTACTACCGAAAACTCCGTTCCCTCAAGTTTCATGTACCATCTTCTCCTTGAAGTCTAAGTAACTGTGTTAAACAAACCTTCTGGTCCTATCTTTGCCATGCACTTCCCGAGCGACAGGACAAGTTAGGACAAATTATTCCCCTTCTGTGAGCCTTCCTTTCCTTTTCTGTCAAATAAAGGTGTTGAGTGACTTCTAAGATAATTTACAGCTCTGACACTCGAGGCCATTTTGCTAGTAAGTGAACAGTTAAGAGGCATATTTAATAGAAATTCTAGTAGCTACACAGGAAGCTGTCTTCTTTTCTTTCGCGCTCACTGTTCTCATCAGGCCCCGTCCTCTCTCCTGCTGGGCCATCCCAGCTTTCTACCCCGTCTCCTGCCTCCCAGTCTCATGCCTTTCCAGCCTGTGCTTCACACTCACGCCAAATTAATCCTTCTGTATTAATGGCGGATCGAATGGCTGCCTCCTCACATTATCTTTTGCTCTCTCTACTGCCTAGAAAATAAAGCCCAAGATCCCTCACCTAGAAGGCAGACCTCTAAAGATGGGGCTCCCCCCTTTCTGTGCTCTGGCCAAACCACCTGCCTGTTATTTCCTGGTCACATCCTGTCCTTCAGGCCTCCCTCCTTTGCTCAGGCTGCTCCTCCAGCCTGGCGTGCCCAGCCTCCCATCCATCTGGGAGACCCTGTCTTCCCTTTTGGCCAGGAGCTTCTTAGGAGCAGTGCTCTCCACCCTTACCCTGGACATAACAGCCTCCAAAATCTGATTCCTTCTTTCACTCCAGAAGGCATTTAGTGGGTATTCACTAAATGTTGGTTCAACTGAACTGTACTCTTAAGGGGTAGTTCCCCTTCCAACCAGTCAGACCACTCTACTTTAGAACATCTCTCATTGTTACAAAGGGTGTCTCCTACCCAACAATGCCCGCTCTTCATAACCAGAACTCTTGGCTGATGGGCCTTGGAAGTCCACCACCCCTGGAGGGGTCCCCCATGGCCACATTTATCACATCGTCTTGATATTTATGTACTCCTTTGTCATCGCCCTCCTTTCTGTCCTGTGACTGAATTGTCTTGTTCACCTCTGATCCCACACCAGCAACCAGGTACCTTCATGGCTAGGACAGTCCAACTCAAAGAACAAGGTGCCTATGTGTCAGGCTGGCTCTGTTCTGCTCCCGTTAAGCTACAACTATCAGAGGAACCCATTCCTGCTCTGCCTGGCCTCACAGCCCTCCAGGCCTCAGGGAACTGGGAGGGAACCCCTTGCTACAGGGTTATTGGAAGCTGAGCCCCTGCCATCTTACAAAAGAAACAGCCAGTACTCAAGTCATAATGTACTCTCCTTTGCATTTAATTTATGAACTATTTGCCCAACTCAAACTGCCCAAGGCTTTTGTTCGGGGCAGTCTTTGCTCCCATAGTCTTTGCTACCAGGAATACATGTGCCCTCGGCTTTGCATTTTGAAATTCTTCCAACCCTTCCAAGCCAGCAGCTCTCTTGACACCTCCTCCAGGAAGCCTCTGATGCTAGAGCCCCTGCCCCTGTCTCACCCTTCTCTGTGCTTCCAGGCACTCAGATGTGGTCCTTTGCTGGACTGGGACTAGGGTGAGGCAAACACATACATTTTAAGGAAGTGCTAACTCTCAGAGTCCTGCCAGGGCACTGTGAGCACTTCCTTACATTCTGCTGTCCTCATCCTGGTCCCAACTCGTGGTCCTTTTGGGCTTCTGCTAATGGTCGAACAGCCTGCAAACTGCTCCCAGTGGTCAGAACCACATCCCACTCACCTCTGTGTCCTCGGGGGCTTAACCTAGTGCTGACACACAACCAAACTAGAGAGAGGGGCGAACAGGTGTTTGGCAGACAGGAGTCTTCCCAGATTTCCAGGCTCAGCCCTGGGGCGTAGGATTACAGGCAGAGGGGCAGGCACTGGAAATGGGCTGTGATGGTAGTAATCGAATGATTTTCTTAGGAGCACAGCACCAAACTCTCTAAATGGATTATCTCTTCTAATCCTCACATTAACCCTTAAAGAAAGGTGTTATTATTAGCTCCATCTGTAGTTGATTCAGACCCGGAGCCTATACCCTTTGATGCATCTGGTGTCGACAGCACTGTGGGGACGGGGCCTGCCAATTCATTTGTGCCTTCATTCTGTCAACTTCCTGAGCTCCTGTTAGGAGTGCTGGGCAGCAGGAAAGTAGCCAGGCTGCCCTCCACAGGCCCCAGGCTCACTGAACAGACAGGAAGTCAGATTTCCAGTTTGGCAGGAACACAGTAGAGAATCCTCGGTTTGAGTTCTGGGTTCTTCAGGGTGGCACAGTGGGAGATTTATTCTATGAATTACCGTCTCTTAGCAGAGCTGAAGATGTGACATTAGTTGTTTCATTCATTCATTCATTCATTCAAAACTATCCTCTTGCATGCCAGGCTCTGGGTGTTCAAGTAACAAAGATAGCGCAAATAGGAGCACCAATCTGAAGCCCCATAGAGCAGAGCTCGTGCCTTCAGCACCCCTGACATCATGTGCTCATACCTCTTTTTGTCCCGGGGCTGTCCTGTGTGTAGCAGGGTTAGCAGCACCCTGGTCTCTGCCCACTCTATCCCCTCCCAGCTGTGAGAGCCAAAAATGCCCGTAGGCCTGCCAGCGCTTCCTGCAGGCAGTGAGAATGGGCTGCAACTACTTCTGTCCTCAGCGTTGAGGCTGACAGCCTGACCTGCAGAACTTTTCTTTCCTGGGCCACAGAAGTGCTTGGTTTCTTCATAGTAAGTATGATTGTGAGGATATGAGGTTCAGGTCCTAGTGCCACTGCAGAAGGGCTCACCTGTGGCTGTGGAGATGAGGGAACCTCAGAGGCCCCACATCCCCCCTGCCCTTCAGTCTTGACCCCCTGGCCCCGGTGCTCCAGGCTTGGGTGGCTGATGTCAGGGGTAAGAGAGGCAGGTGCTTTCAGGATGGCTGGAGGGTCTGACCAGAGACCCCACAGAAGGAAAGGCAACACACTTTGCTAAGAGGATTGAGCTTGTACCAAGTGCCAAGCATTTGCGCTCAGCACAGCCAAAGCTCTTAAGAGTCATTTGGGACGTTACTCCTATTTTCCAAATGTGGAAACTGAGGCTCAGAGGCATCTAAGCATTATCCAAGTTGGTGAGGTGGCATGTCCTTGCCGAAGGCCCCTAGTGACTAGTTGGTGGGGGCACCAGGACAGGAACACCTCCCTCCCTCCCTGCCCCAGCCCAGGCCCAGGCTTGGGCCCTCTTGCCCTGGGTCAGCCTGTTGGCCATGCCCAGCTGCTGCTGCCCCACCACCCAGGGCTCCAGCCCCCCCAGGGATGAGGCCCTCTGAGAAACTGGGGCAAGGGGACAGTCCCTGGGAAGAGGAAGAAGAAGTGAGGGAGGAGGAAGAGAGAAAGAAGGAAGAGGAGATGTAGGACAAGGAGGGGGGAGAGGAGGGAGGGAAGAAGGGGGGAGGGGCAGAGGAGGGCAGGGGAGGAAGAAGCCAGGGCAGCTCCAGCCTCACCCTGCCCCTTCCAAGGCCTGCCAGCCTCCAGGGACCAACCTCAGAGGGCTGAGAACACCCACCCCTCCCCGGGCCCAGCCCGGCCAGCTCTGGAGGGAGGGTGGGGTCAGGCTGCATACTTCTCAGGTTAACTCTGGGTTTCGTTTTATCATCTTGTCACATCCTGAAATGTCCTTCCTGTCAAGTGCGCTCCATATGCTGTGGGGGGGAGCATGGTGGGGGGGCTAATGGTTGTTTGTGCTTGTGTGTGGATACATGTATAACTTTAGAGAAGTGATTCACAACGGGGACTTTTTTCCCACTAGGGGACATTTGGCAACGCCTGGAGATATTTTTGGTTGTCCCAACTGGGGGTATCCAATGGGTGGAGGCCAGGATGCTGCTAAACATCCCAGAGTGCCCAGGGCAGCCCCACAACAAGGGCCAGTCAGCACCAGCAGTCCGTGATGCCGGGGTGGAGGGGCCTGGGCTGCTGGCTGAGAAAGACCCCACCTGCCCCCTGCAGCCCTCCCCGAAGCCTCCCATTCCGCAGAGAGCAGTGAAGCTTACAGAGCGGGTAGGGGGTCTCACGAGCCCCTCCCCTCCCTTCTGAATCTCACTACCCTCTTTTCACTTGGGTTTGGAGCTACAGCCAAGAGAAGGAACCTGAATGGAACCTTCTGTCCATGACCCCCACAGGCAGACCCCCTCTGAGACCTGTTAGATATACAAATGTATGTTTTTGTCTCTTACACCAGGATTTACAATGGAAAGAGGGTGACTCAGTGGGGTTTTCTGAGTAGGACAGGGGTTTTCTGTGGTATTACTACAGGTCTTCTGGGAAGACACTCTGTCCTCTCAAATAATCCAGGCTGACTGGCGCGTCCGCTAGC